CGAGTAATAGAAGCTCCCGAGAAAAGGGGAAAAAGGTCCCCGGAATTGTGCCTAGAGATAACCCCTTGGGAGAAATGCTTCAAAATTGGAAAACCAACCCCAAAACTAGGGACAGAGATAGGAAAAAGATGTTTAGATACTGTACCCAAATTTGGCTTCGAGAGCCTTTACAGGGAAAATCGGTATTTTGGCCAAAATACAGATCTGATGAAGATTGGATCTGTCAGATTCTGAATTTATATGTAAAGAATAAAACTCCCTTGTCAGAGGAAGAAACAGAATATGCCACTTGCTGTTCACGAGAGGTAAGTATTGCTGGCAAAGAAAGATTTGGATCAGGAGGAATCAGGAAAGAGAGAGCTAATCAGTGGAATCCCCTAGAGAATCTGCCTCCTCCATTCAACCCTAATGTAGTATAGGAGGCGTCAGGCATTTCCCCAGAAGAGCAAGAGAAAACTCATAGAGTCATTTCACAGGAAGAAGGGCATGCTGGGCTCAGAAGGGAGTTAGAACAATATAAGAGAGATATCCCTGACCCTGACCACACTAACACCTCTATGTACCCCCTACGGGAGGTCCCACTGGGACAGGGGCAAATACATTATGTAAGCTCCCCACTCACTAGCAGAGAGGTCAGGAATTTCAAGAAGGAAATGAAATCCTTAATTGAGGATCCTATAGCAGTAGCAGAACAATTTCTGGGTCCTAACCTGTACTCATGGATGGAATTAATGTCCATCGTGGGTATATTGTTTACTCTAGAGGAAAGAGTTATGATCAGATGAGCTGCTATACAAGAATGGGAAAAGAATAATCCCCCTGGGGGATGGTGCCAGCAGAACAAAAATACCCATTGGAAGACCGTAACTGGGACTGTAATAACGCACAACATAGGCAAAACATGAAGGACTTGTGAGGTATAATAATAGCTGGAATTAAGGAGGCAGTACCTAAGTCCCAGAATCTTACTAAGGCATTTGAGATTCAGCAGAATAAGAATGAATCCCCTAGTGATTTTCTGGAAAGGCTTAGAGACAGGATGAGAAAATACTCAGGAATGAATCCTGAGGATCCTGTAGCCCAAGGGTTCCTTAAGGTAAATTTTGTAACTAAGGCATGTCCAGACATACAGAAAAAACTTCAAAAGATAGAAGGATGGAATACAAAGCCCCTGGAGGAGCTCTTACAAGAGGCTCAGAAGATATATGTTAGGAGGGAAAAAGAGGAAGAAAAACAGAAAGCTAGATTAATGGTTTCCACAGTGGATCGTGTAGTGAAACAAAGATTGGATAATAGGGGGAGGAAAACACAAGAGAGGTCGGGCCCTGGAGGGTGGCAGAGAGAAGGAAAATTCTGAGGATATCGATCCAGACCTCAATCAGAGAATAGTGAAAAGAGGTGTTTCAGGTGTGGAAAGCTAGGAGAAAGAAAAACTGCCCAGAGTGGGGGGAGAGGAGAAGCTACAAGCTGCTTTAAATTCAGAATAGGGGTGTCAGGGGTTCTTGAAAAATTGGACCCACCAGGAGCCCTAGATAAATGTGAAAGTGGGACCTGAAGGGGAGAAGATTGTATTTTTAGTTGATAGTGGGGCAGCTCGTACATCGCTGGCTCATAAAGTGTCAGGACTCAAATTAACTGATGAGACTCTAAGAATAACGGGGGTAGAGGGGATGGGGATGACAGTACCACTTTTTGAAAACACTGAATTGAGATAGGGAATAAGACAATAACAGGACAGTTATTGTATGCACCTGGTGCAGGGACTAATTTATTGGGGAGAGATCTTATGATGAAATTGGGAATACAAATAACAATCTGTCAGGAGGGAATTGCAGTATTAGTGAATGTGTTAACTGAGACAGGTGAGAAAGATATAGATCCTGTGGTCTGGGCAAAGGAAGGGAACAGTGGGGGGCTGCAAATAACCCCTTTAAAAATAAAGTTGCAGGAAAAATATGAAATCATAAGACAGAAGCAATATCCAATTCCTTTTGAGGAACGTACCGGGCTTAAACCTGTAATGCAAGGATTATTGAAAGATGGATTGTTGGAACCGTGTATGTCGCCCTTTAATTCTCCTGTTCTGCCAGTAAGGAAGCCTGATGGCTCCTATCGATTAGTCCAGGACTTGAGAAAAATTAATGAAATAGTAGAAAAACGACATCCAGTGGTTCCAAACCCATATACCTTGATGAGTAAAATCCCAAATGAAGATAAATGGTTCAGTGTCATAGATCTAAAAGACGTCTTTTGGTCTTGTCCCCTGGATCCGGAGAGCAGAGATATATTTGCATTTGAGTGGGAAGATCCTGAGAGTGGGTGAAAACAACAGTATCGCTGGATAGTTCTGACTCAGGGGTTTGCAGAATCACCAAATCTGTTTGAGCAAGTTTTGGAGCAAATATTAGAACACTTTCAGCCACCAGAGGGAGTATCACTCCTACAATATGTAGATGATCCCTTCTTGTTAGGACCAGAAAAAGCAGCGGTTAAAAAGGCTACAAATGAACTGCTAAATTTTCTAGGAAAACAGGGACTGAGAGTCTTAAAGAATAAACTACAATATGTAGAAAAAGAAGTTAAATATTTGGGATATCTAGTCTCTGAATGAAAAAGAGGGAAAAAGAGGAAGAAAAACACCCCAGAATCACCCCAGAAAGAATTCAGGAAATTGTTGAACTATCCTTACCCAGAATAAAGAGGGAATTGAGAAAATTCTTAGGGGTGGTGGGATATTGCAGGCTCTGGATAGAGGTGTATGCTCAGAAAACCAAAGGACTATACCTTAAACTATTAGATGAGGAACCCAGTACCCTTGAGTGGACTGCCAAGGAAAAAGAGTTAATAGAAGAATTAAAACAAAATTTAGTTACAGCACCAGTCCTGGCTCTCCCTGCATTGAACAAACCTTTCCAGCTCTTTGTTAACATAGATTAAGGGGCAGCCCTGGGAGTGCTAACTCAGGAATGGGGAGACAAACGTCAGCCCATGGCATATCTATCTAAGCTACTAGATCCAGTATCTTGGGGCTGGCCAGAATGTATTCAGGCAGTAGCAGTGACTGCTATTCTGGTAGAAGAGAGCAGAAAATTGACCTTTGGGGGACGCTTGATAGTCACTACCCCACATAAAGTAAAAAATATTCTGACCCAAAGGGCTGGAAGATGGTTAACTGACTCTAGGATCCTGAAATATGAGGCAATACTAATGGAGAAAAATAACTTAGTGCTAACAACTGTGTCTTGTCTGTATCCAGCTACATTTCTGTGGAAAGGTGAGGAAGGAAAGTGTAGAGCACAATTGTTTGGATTTAATCGAGAATCAGACAAAATTAAGATCCGACCTGCAAGACACTCCCCTTGAGGAAGGAAAGCTTTTGTTTATTGATGGGTCTTTAAGGAAAGAGACACAATGGATATGCTTAGTAGAGGGAGCAAAAGGGGAGGTGAGAGAGATGGGCCGGCTGCCTAATGACTGGACTGCACAGACATGTGAATTATATGCCTTGAACCAAGCACTTCATCTCCTTAAGGGAGAAGAGGGAACCATATATACCATTCAAAGTATGCGTATGGAGTGGTACATACTTTTGGAAAAATTTGGGAGGAGTGAGGGTTAATCAACAGTAAAGGTTCATGGAGAATTAATCAGACAAGTCCTAGAAAATTTACCACTACCCACTGAAATTGCAATAGTGCATGTTAGAGGTCACCAGAAAGGAAATCAATCATTGCTCAAGGGAACCGAGCAGCAGATAAAACAGCCCATGAGGCTGCTTTACAATCAGCAATTATTATGAATTATCTTGTGCCCGAGGTACCACCTCCTCCCCCAGAACAAATATTCAGTGAAAAAGAAAAGGAAACCCTTAGGAACTTAGGCGCCACAGAGTCCGAGGGAAGGTGGACCCTTCCAGATGGGAGAGAAGCATTAAACAAAGTAGTGACAAGAGAAATTTTAATCATCCTGCATCAAGGGAGTCACTGGGGAGTACAGGCCATGTGTGATGCTGTGCTACGAAAATACATAAGCATAGGGATATATGCTCTGGCTAAACAGGTCTGCGGGGAGTGTGTAGTATACCAGAAGGTGAATAATAAGGCCACCAGAAACAGGCCTAAAGAGAGAAGAGAGCTGGGGATTCGACCATTTCAAAGTACTCAAGTAGATTTTACAGAACTCCCGAATGTAGGAAAAATCAAGTACTTGTTAGTGTTAGTAGACCATTTAGCTGGGTGAGTAGAAGCATTTCCATCAGTATCTGCCACTGCAAATACGGTAGCCAAGGTAATTTTGTTACACATAATCCCTAGATATGGAGTGGTAGAATATATTGATTTGGATCAAGGTAATCATTTCACTTCACACATATTACGGAAACTAATGCACACTTTAGGGATTAAATGGGAATTTCATACTCCCTGGCACCCGTCGTCATCAGGAAGAGTAGAAAGAATGAATCAGACAGTAAAGAAACACCTCACTAAGTTGGTCTTAAAGACTCGACTCCCATGGACTAAATGTTTGCCTCTGGCACTTCTCTGAATCTGTACAGCACCGAGAAAGGATGTGGGGGTTTCTCCATATGAAATGTTATTTGGGTTACCATATCCAGGAAAGAAAAATGAGGTACCACAGTTTGAAACTAAAGATATGTTTCTTAAAAATTATATACTCAGATTGTCTTCCTCACTATCGTCTCTCAGGATCCGAGGACTGCTAGCACAGACACCACCTCTGAAATTTCCAATTCATCCATTCCAAACTAGAGAGTGGGTCCTTATCCAGACCCGGAAGGAGGCAAAGCTGCAACCTGGCTGGGAAGGACTGCTCCAAGTACTTCTGACAACAGAAACAGCTGTCAGGACGGCCGAGAAAGGTTGGACTCACTACGCTCGAGTAAAACCCTCCACTAACCCTGAAGTGTGGGAAACTGTTGCCATGGAGGATCCTCTGAAGATAAAAATTTAGAAAGAAATTATAAATAAACTGATCTGTAATTTCTCCTTAACAAGTATAGGTAGGGAGGTGTTTATGCTATATATATTTGTATTTCTAGCAGGATATATCCTATTCTTCACTATAGTAACTATATAGAGATTTAGGAGTTAACAATGATGTGGGGGAGAGAGCAATTAGTAGTTTTGATTTTGACAGTGGTCCCCTTCAAAGAATGTCTTAGTCAACTGATTGCTTGGGAAAAGGATGACCTGCAGAGGGGAGTGGGAGGATATCCTGTTACGATGTGGGTGAATGTAACAAGGAGAGAAACGCCTCAGACTGTCACATTTGATGCTTGCAATGTGATAGCCTGTGGGAGCTTGAGTGCCCAACGACAATTGAGTCATGAAGATAAATACCTGTGTCCTGAATTAGGCATGAATAAGAGATCCCCTTGTGGGGGATGGAATAATGTATGGTGGACGACTGTCTATCAAGGCTGGACATACACCCCAGGGATATCTGATACATTGCAATCACACACCCTAAAAGAACGGATTAGTATGTTTAAGGGAATTGTCCAACCAGACTGCCAGGCCTTGCAGTGTAATCCAGTAACAATTACAATAAGCAAGGCTGATAGCCTTGTTAACATCACCTTTGGCATTGGAATAAACATACGAGGAAAAGACCCAGTAGCTAGATTCAGAATAGCCGTATGGGATTCATTACTTGATCATACTCAAAATGTCCAGGATAAGAAAAAAGGAGTGAAAAATCCTCCTAAAAATCCTGCAGCTGTAGCAGTTACAGAAATAAAAGATCTCAGACAAACATTTGAAATTGAGACAGGATATGGAGATGTGAATGCCTGGGTAGAATGGGTTAAGTATACTGTCCAGAGTCTCAACCATAGCAACTGCTATGCTTGCGCATCAGGGCGGCCTGTAGCTCAGGTAGTACCCCTTCCACTGGGGTGGACCAAGGATTCCCAAGATATGCAATGTATGATTGCCCTGTACCAGGAGAAAACTGCCTGGGGAAATGAAGCCTGTAAATCTCTGTCCCTACTGTTTCCCCCGATATCAGAGATGGATGCCAGAATCCCTCCAGCATTCTCCACGGCCATAGGTAACCATACAGCTTGTCTCTCAAGACAGGGTGTGAAGGCTACCAGGTCTGTAGGGAATTTCTCACTATGCAGTGAAACCTTGGATGTTACAAAAGATTTAGCAGGGAACTATTCAAGGCTGGGAATCCCTAGAGCGGATCTCTGGTGGTATTGCGGTGGGAAGATCTTATGGTCCACTCTCCCATCTAATTGGGGAGGTACCTGTGCACTTGTTCAACTGGCTATACCGTTCACTCTGGCATTTGAGAAGGATCTATCACACACTCACAAAAGGAACAAAAGGAGCCTAGGAGTCTCATTTGATGATGATGCAATATATATAGACTCAGTTGGGGTGCCCAGAGGTGTCCCTGATGAATTTAAGGCTAGAAAACAAATTGCTGCAGGATTTGAGTCACTATTCTGGTGGGTAACAATTAACAAAAATGTAGATTGGATAAACTACATCTATTACAATCAGCAGAGATTTATAAACTATACAAAGGAGGCAACAGAGGGAATTGCAGAACAATTGGATGCTACAAGCAGGATGGCCTGGGAGAATAGGATCGCCCTAGACATGATACTAGCTGAAAAATGGGGTGTATGTGTAATGTTGGGCTCTCATTGCTGTACTTTCATCCCAAATAACACAGCCCCAGATGGCACGATAACTAAAGCATTACGGGGGCTTACTACTCTTGCAAATGAATTAGCAGAAAACTCAGGAATAGATAGTTCTCTCGCTGGATGCTTGGAGTCCTGGTTTGGCAGATGGAAAGGGATGATTGTGTCCATATTTACTTCTTTGATTGTGGTGGCAGGATTCCTGATGGCCATTGGTTGCTGTATTATCCCCTGCATGAGGGGATTGGTACAGCGACTAATAGAAACTGCGCTGCTGAAGCAAACAATAATGGAGCCACCACCATACTCGGATGAAATGATAGTATTAGAAGAAATGGAGAATGAAGAAAGTGAAGAAGTTTTTAGAATCATACCTTAGAAAAGAATTGCAGACATCAATATTGTAAAAGAAAAAAAGGGGGGAATTGTGGAAAGTGCAAATGATCTCTATGCATTGGATATTGAAAAGGGCAAATGGTCTGAAGAAGTAAGCTGTAGCATATCCTTAGAAATAGCTGATGTGAAAAGTAGAAATACCATATACATATTAGTAACATATCTTAGAAACGTAGTTACTGAATTACATGACAAATTCTTTCTCACAAAGCTGCAATAGACTTTAAATGTTCTAAACATTTAGGGTGTTCGTTAGGCCAGCAGAAGTGAAATACATTTAACAAGTTTTCAAGGAGTCAGGGCCTTTACACAAAGCAGAACTGTCCCAATCTATGGGAATGTTAGGATGCCATAAGCAGGCTTCAAGGTACTCCCCTCTATCCTCCTTCCAAGCTTATCTCTATGCAGGGACAGATGGATGACCAGAGCAATGACCCAGTGTAAAAGGCACAAATGCTAGGGGGTAGTTAAACAATGAAGAGGTTATGTTTATGTTTATGTTGTAAAGCAGGCATCCAAAAGTTATGACCAGTTGTCTGTTAAGAAAGCAACTGTTAGAAGGCAATTAACCAAGTGAGATATTTGTGTTTGGGTGGCAAGGATTTGTGTTTCCTTGGTATTTGTGTGATTAGTGAAGCATCACGAAAGAGTGTGAACCTGCAGTACTCAGCCAATGAGGACCCAGGGGAGAAAGAGATAAGCGTGGGGCAACAGGGGATAAAAGATGTAACGCTGTTTTCTGTGTGCGCTCCTGCTTGCAGGAGGCCTGCCATTGCAATTGCAAATAAAATCTGCTTTATCAGAGATACCGTCCTGGAAAACTATTTGGATATTTCCAACACCTCCATCAGGAAACCCTGCTGGAATAACCACTTTCCAGCATACCTTCAGCAGTCACTGTGACTGACCAGGTCCGATCCTCCTTGTTGCCTCCCTTATCACTTGTTGGTCAAGATTGTGATGCTGTTTGCTCTTAATTATGACTTTCTCCTTTCCTTACTATTGTTTTTTCTTTCTCCACTAGAAATGTCCTTAATCAGAGAGCCTTAAAGAAACTGTACTCTACCTCAACATTTCTTACTTTTGCTGTTGTTTGTCCAGGAACAAATAAATAGTTCTGAAAAGAAATAAAACTGTGTAGCATCATTTCTCAATATAAATTTCAAAGAAAAAAAAAAAAAAAGCTTCTATAGAATTGGCTGCAGAAGTGTTTATTAACTGAATATGTAAAAATCACATGGATGTATATGGAAGAAGAGGGAAAAATAGGCAGAGTAGGCAGATTTGTGCAATTTTTACAACATTGGAATAGTAGATTGGAGTACAAAGGGGGAATGATGTTTTGTGCTAAGATAACTGAGAGCCTGGACAGGAGTGCCTTGACAGGAAAAAGTGTTGTGGGAAGTATGTGCCAGCAAGAGTGAGCATCCCTTTTTGTATCAGCATTCACAATGAATTGTCTCCTATGCATTTCTCACTCAAGCAATCCTCCAGGATCCTCAGTTTTCTCTGCTTTGATGTTACATACCCAGACTTAGTACCAAGTGCAGATGGCATTCATATGCGTGTAATCCTGTCTTTAAATCATGTACCCTGTAGTATCTCATTAGCTTCTTTCAGTACTTCAGCACAGTAGGAAATAGAAAGATATCTTCAGGAAACCATCATGCAATCTCCAGAACATGGAGAGTGATTTAAAAATATTGGCAATCACGATTCTATCCAATTCAGGTACTCTGACAAAAGCATAATAGATCTCACTAAGCTCTGCCCACAAACATCAAAACGTGAGCCAACCAAAATCCCTAATAAGAAAAAAGACTGATGATGTGCAAGACATAAAAAACTCAGCCTCTTCCCTATCTTTTTAAATTATTGTTGATGGAAGGTTCACAGTCGTTGCTTTAAAGCTGCGAGATGACACTATGAAAGGGTCTCAGGATGAATGGATACCCACATGTGTTTCTTGTATGTTTTGAATAATATCTTACAAGCCAGGGCCCAGCCCAAATATGGCCACTGAGGTGACGTTGGTCACCGTGGATCTATCTGGGAGCCCTTCTAAAGTCTGCGTCTTCTCCTCATTTTTGAAGAGGAGAGTGTTGATCATTAATGTACTCAGCATCTCTCCTCAGAAA